TATAAAATTATAACTATTATATTTAATTTATTATATTTAATAATAATTATAATATTAAATAATCAAATACGTTACCATTTTTTATTCTGCTTACACATTTTATGTTCAAGAAAAACGTCATAACTTTTTCCATTTGTGGCAATCTTCATCGTAATGTTCAAGAAATCGGCAATGGTGAGTACTAATCATAAGTTCGTGAACAAACTTTTTAACGGCGGTTAATGTTTCTTATTAATAATTCTTATTTTCTTTTTGATGAATAAATATCTTCAGCCACAATAAATCGAATAATGAACATTCAACGGTGATCGTCTACAAATACAAAAAAGAATATCAGATGTATCCTAGCTAATTTTCAATTTTTTCGTTTAAAAAATAATAATATCGATAATCGATATTATTTGTCCTACAAATATCTGTCAAATATACAAAGTTTATCCAATATCTGCAAAATTGCCTGTAATTTTTTATAAGTTTTCGTTGCATAAACATGATAAAATGATATTATGATAAAGCAACCTGAAACATTATTATATTTTTAATTTTAATTTGTAAAAATTAGTATTATTTTTTAGAGAATTTAGATATTAGAAATAAAGTTTAAAAAAATAAAAATTAAATACATATTTAATAAAATTCAATAGAATTTGGGCATTTAACATATAATATAATTATGTATTAGAGGTATAGAAATATTAGGAAAATTATTGTTTTTCTTGAAAATTATATGTTTAGTTTCATTTGAATATTTAAATTTAGAATTTCATACTTACTTAACTTATTTATTAAATTTTAATTTCAATTTTAATTCATTACAACAATTGCAGTGAATATCTTTATAATTTATATTAATTAAGTAAGAGAAAGAACTTCTCTTACTTAAAATTTAAACAATTATAAATATTACCATATATATAATGAGAAAACTATTAAAAAAATATTAAAAATCGATGATATTTCAAACTATTGTTATTATGAATTTAATGAAAAGAATAAAAATTTCATAATAAATTAAGAAAACCATTTTTTTTTTTCATAAAAAGCTGAACCATATTTGTTAATATATAGATATAATTAATTTTATATAACTGTAAATTATTTCTATTATTGTTCACACTTAAAATAAGAATATTTTAGAAATTTTACAAGAATATTTATCTATAATTATCTATAATTATCTATATTTTAAATAATTGAAAGAATTCGAAAGAATCTATTCTTCGATACATTTAACTAGTGCCAATCGTCAATAAAGCACTAGAATACTATTTAGTTACTAAATCTTGCCACTTTTAAATATTTGCATAAAAAGAAAATATTTAAAAAAAATAATAAAAAAGTATCTAAATATTTTAAAACTATCTAAAATCGATTAATCATCTAATTTATGTAAAAATTGTATTTAATATCAAAATTTAACATTTTTTAAAATGAATAGAAAATACATAAATTTAAAAATAATTCAATTTAGAAATTTCTAATTATGATTTAAAAACATTAAAATTAAAAAGTTAAGATATAATTTAATGTTTAAATAAATTTTTTTAAAATTCATATTTATAAAACGTTATTAATAATTATGAATAAAATCGTAATATAAAAGAAAAGAAATTTCGTTGTTATATGTTTACTTAACATACTGCGCAGTTTAAAAGGAATAATTAAATGGAGTGGCTTATGTATAAAAAAATAAAACCCTTTATATGTTTAGTCAATCAGATCACTATACAATGGAAAGTTTCGTTAGGATTGGCTGAAAGGGAAGAGCTACAAGTCAACGTTCATAATAACTTTAAGTCCCATTCACATTGAGCATTTTGTAATGCATGACTGAATTTCTCATAGTGTTTCTAGACGCATGTTCAACAACGACACATAATGAAGAACAGTTACGAATAGTTGCAAAGCGTCCTATCATAAGTACGAGTTTCTCGGAAGTGAACGAATCAGAAAAATCGGTGCAGAGAGTAGGACACATTTGCTATATAATCCTCCATATTGCGCAGCGATATAATGCAAACGTACAGTTTTATGGAATTTCTCAACGAAAGATGCGAAACAGCTACCAGTAGTTAGTAGCAGTGCTGCCTTGTTCAGTCTATATGATATATATGATTCTGCGTACACAAGCAGTCAGTGTGGTGCATTCGGAGTAATAAAATCGTTGATTGTCGATCCTTCTAATCCGTGTGCAGTGTTGTGTAGAGTCGCGTGAAGGTCGTGAACTTTTGCAAGATTATTCGAGAAGCTTGCAATCCGGAAGCACATTACGAAAGGAAGGTTAAAAAGAAAGGTGGACGATCCTCCGCGAAAAGCCTCGGTAAAATGGCGGTGATCGGTACTCCGATTGGCGCTAAGCGATAGAAGAGGATCGCGCTCTATTCACGCTCGCTAAGTTTTGTTTTGATCTAGTTCGATATCTATTCTCACAGAAACCGGTCAATTCTTGTCATTTCAAATCATTCGGTTTGATTTCGTCGAATTCCATTTAGCATTGTGCGAAATTAAAACGGCGTCCCATTGACTGAAGATATATAATCTAGTCGAGGACGATCAAGGTGGTAAGAAACCACCGACGGAACGGTTTTCGACGGCCGTGATGCCGCATCGTTCCGACCTCGAATTTATCGAAAGGCCGAACGACAAGGACGACTCTATCAAATCCTTGTCGGCTTATCTATAGGTAAGTTTCGTGCCACGAGTGCATCTCTGCTTTCACCACTTTTATATATTCTATAGTTCGTTTTTTTATCGTTTTAACTCGTTATTCGGTATTATTTGTTATTTTTTAATATGATTTTTAAAATTATTTACAAGTATTTTATCTTTGTTATTATTTTGTGATAGCTGAATACACTTAAGTTAGGTTAGGCTCTAGAAATTGATGACTCTGCATCTTAACGAGAATCGAGGCTGTTTTCGTTCCTATTGTCCTTCTAACGGTCGGAACTTCTAGAACATTAAAATTTACATTGCAACTATATTGTATTTTTCCTAGAAAATTCCTTTGTTTATGTTGCTTTTTTTCCTTTTATAATCGATTATGTGTTTCCTTATACAGATTCATTTAAATAACTATTCGCGCCGTCGACAGTACGTTTTGTCACGATTTGTCATGCTTTCAAGGCTTATCATGAGGTTTACGACGTCATTGTATTATTCTTTTTACGAATGTTGTATTATAATTAACTATGTTCTAAATTAAAAATTTTTTAATTGATGTAAATTTGTATGTCCTATGCCGTTTTATGAGTAAAATTTTTTATTAAATAATAATTTAAAAAATTATCGATTCAAAGATATATATATACATATATGTATATATATTAATAACAATGATTTTATTTTAGTATCTGCTTTAAAAAACCATATGGAAAAATTTTTTAATCAACATAAAAATTATAAAGTGTTTTCTTTTATTTTTTATTATTTTGTTACTTTATTAAAACATTTAATTTAATAATCTAATGAATTTTATGATTTATATGGAATAATGATTTCGTAATAAAGATAATTTTTTTCGCAATATAAAAAAAATTTGTGAAATAATGCGTAAATTTTTTAGGAAATTATTATTTAATATTCAAGAATATGAATTAATTTTTAAAATATAAATTTTTTAAATGTATTCTATTAATATTATTACATTTATTGATTTTGAAATTTATTATTCATTTTAAATGAGATTGCATAAACATTATATAAGTTATATTTTTTTATTCTTGATTTAATAATCTTTAAAAAATTTTAACAGTAAAATATGGAATAAAATATTTATTAATTAATAATTATGAATAAAATGATTTTATTTATTAAAAGTATAATGATTAAAGAAAAATTTTTACTATAGATTAATAAATTACATTATATCATATTTACATTTAATGAAAATTATATTAATTATTTTTATTAAATATATTATAAAATAATGTTTCAGATTTTAAATTCTTGAAGAGACTCTATCTGTCAAAATGAAAATTGATCGCAATAGATTGAGAAAATATACATCAGAAGCGGTAAATAATATTTTTATCATATTTTCTAAAAAAAAATATGCTAATATGTTAATTTCTACATGATTTAAATAAATTTTTAGCCTGCAAAATGTCAGGCGCTTATAAACAAGTTGCGCTCATGCTCCCATGCAGAATTGCTAGAGGAGCTAAAGCAAATAGATGCATGGACTTTTGGTAAATGTGAATTATTTCATTGGGTTGATGTATTGGATCTTAGCGACAGCATTTTGGAAGAAGCTGCTGCTAAAAGCCCAGACAATCCATGGGAATTGGCTTGTGATCTCCCTCAAAATAGAGAGGTACATTTGCAATATAATTTTATTTTTTATTCTATTATTCTTAAAAATATGTAAATATATTTATTCTATTATTTATAGGCAAAAGAACTTCTCCTTTGGGTTCTACATCTTACAACATTATTAATTGAACATTCATATTCTCGACACTTATACAGCAGTATGGAACATCTAGTGACTTTGTTATCAAGCTGTGACATGCATGTTGTCCTTGGTGTATTAAATATTCTCTACATGTTCAGTAAACGTAGCAATTTCATTGCACGTTTAAACAGTGACAAGAGGCAAGCTTTATTAAGTAGACTTACTCTTTTAGCAGAGGTAGGATATATGCATTAATTGATGTATATGTTTATATTAATATATAGAAAATTTATTAAAGTTCTAAATGCAATTTTTATATTTTAGAGTTGGGGAGGTAAAGAAAATGGATTTGGTTTAGCAGAATGTTGTAAAGAATATCCAGACAAGGTAACATAAATTTTATAAATGATTATAATTCTAAAAAATATATTGCAATTTTTTTTTTAATTTTTATAGCCACTTCCAGCAAGTGCCACAACATTGCATTTCGAATTTTATGCAGAAAATTCAACGACAGATTCAAATGCCACATCAAACATTGGCACAAAAAAATCTGGACAGACGAATTTTGTAACATGTATACATATAGAAAATGTAGATAAACTGGGTAAAACACCAGCACAAATTATGAATGATTTGTTAAAAGTCAATAATGTACCCCAAGATCGACAGGTAAGTTATATTTGTTTTAATGTTAATTTTGGTATGTATTTAATATTTAATGAATATAATATAATATATATAAATTATTATAATATATTTAATTATTTAATGAATGTACATATAAATATTTAGATTTGTTATTTATATTTTTTTTTAGATTGCGTTGTTTACACATATAAGATTAGCACACAGTTTCTCTGACTATAGAAGACGATTACAATGTGTGCACGCTCGGCTGCAGGCATTATCAATACTTGTATATAATAGTGAACTAGAAGAAAATGCACATAGTTTGCTGCATCCTGGACTTTTAGAAGAATTAGTTGAATTACTGGAACTTCCACATGCACATCTTGTTGAATTACGTGCTGCTGCTTTAAGAACTCTTACAAGTATCATTCATTTAGATCGCAATCCACATTTTCCAAAGTAAGAAAAAATATTATGCTAAAATTATAATTTTTCCAATATTTTTTATGAAATTTTGTTATCATTAATTTTTTTATTTATTGATTCATTTTAATTTATTTTAGAAAACCTAGTTCAAGATTAAATATGATAATCGACGTCACTGGAGCCAATTCATATCATGGATTTTTTCCTGTATTAATTCGAACTTGTATTTCAACATTGATTTCTCCGCAACCTGAAGGACAACCATTTCCTTTATCACTTGCAACAGCTTTATTTAGCTTTCTATACCATCTTTCGAGTTATGAAGCAGGATGTGAAGCACTTGTTAGTTGTGGAATGATGGAAAGTTTGTTAAAAATCATGAATTGGCCTGGTAGCGAGTTTGAACATTTGACGGTAAAATTTTTTACAATTTTATTGTATATTTAATTTCATAAAATACTTTTGTATTCAATTTTAATTTTTTATTTATAGTTTGTAACAAGAGCAGTTCGTGTTATAGACTTAATAACAAATATAGATATGCAAGGATTTCAAGCTCACGGTGGTTTAGCCAGTTTTATTAATCGTCTTGATATGGAAGTAAATGTTTGTAGAAAAGAACAACCATTTGAAATAGAACCTATACATTATCAAGATAATTCTCAGGCCACACGTGAAAGATCGATGGATCGCGATGAAAGTTCTACGTCTTCACGTGCTTTTGACGAGCGTGAAGAATCATCTAATCCTATGGAATTTTCGGAAGATGAGAACATGAGTTCCAAAACCGATGATAAAAATGAACAAATACCAGACTATTCGGCTGGAAAAACTGGAAAAACTTGTCTACCACAGCGAGTTACACTTTTAAAAGCGTTATTAAATTTTATTAAAAAAATTATTCAAGATCCCACATTTTCTGATAGTATTAGACATGTTATGGAGGGTACTTTACCTTCTTCTTTAAGACACATTATCAGTAATTCAGAATATTATGGTCCTTCTTTGTTCCTTATTGCAACGGATGCTGTAACAGTATATGTTTTCCAAGAGCCATCTTTATTATCTTCTTTACAGGATAATGGATTAACTGATCTTGTACTGCATGCTTTACTAATTAAAGAAGTAATTAAATTATTGATTTATTTTAAAAAAATATAATGTATAATGTATTACTGAAAATGATATAATATTTATTGGTATATTATTCACAGATTCCTGCTAGTAGAGAAGTTCTAGGATCACTGCCTAATGTATTTAGTGCTTTGTGTTTAAATCAGCGTGGACTAGAATCATTCGTAAAACGACGCCCTTTCGAACGCTTATTTAAAGTATTATTATCGCCACTTTATTTGCCTGCAATGAATCGACGTCGTAGCACAGATCCTTTAGGTGATACTGCTTCGAATTTGGGTAATGCAATGGATGAATTAATGCGACATCAGCCAAGTTTGAAAGTTGATGCAATCGCTGCTGTTATAAAGGTATTACATTTTTTTTTTTTTGATATACATAGTGTATTTTTTAAATATAACTTCACAATATTTGTTGAATCTAAAATCAAAAACGAATTAATGTAATAATAATAAATATATATTAAATATATATTATCAACATCTATATACTTTATTTTTATATATAGTTATTAGAAGAACTTTGTGTACTGGGTTGTGATCCTCGTTATATATGCTTGCAAGCTGAAGATAAATTCGATAATTCTCAATCAAATACTACTTCTGGAAATCGCCAATCTTCTGGACAATCTGTTGGAGTTGGAGTTGGAGATTCTGGTGCAGGAGGAGGAGGTGGTAGTGGAAGTAGTAGTGATGAAGAAGAAGAGGATGAAGAAGAAGCTAGTACAAGTTCTCATCCACAACGTGAGGAACAATGTTCATCATCTACTGCTCAACCAGTTCCACCACCTCAACCTAGAGAGAAAACTCCAATAGCTTTAATGGAATATATACAAAATGTTACAAAATTCGTTGATGCTATTCTCAGTAATAATTCGACGGATGATCATTGTAGAGAGTTTGTCGCTCAAAAAGGTCTCGTACCATTATTATCAATTTTAGGATTACCTAATCTTCCAGTGGATCATTCAGTTGCCCAAACAGCACAAGCTGTAGCTACAGTTTGTAAAAGTATTTTAAATCTTGCACATGAACCATTAGTTCTTAAAACTGGTCTGTCTCAGTTGAATGAAGTTTTGAATTTGCTGAAACCATTATACAATTATATGGAAGCTCCAGGAGGATCTGTTTTATTACATGAACTTGTCAATGCTCCGAATCTGGAAACAGCTTTTACCAGTGATACAGCAACACCTTTACTTCATGCTATGAATGCTGCTTATGGATATATAATAATGTTCGCACAAGTATGCCGTACCAGTCAAAGCGAAATCAGAAACTTGGCTATGAATCATTGGGGTTCCGAGCTTGGTTTGACCGTTCTGAAAGGTTTATCAGAACTGTACACAGCTCTGATCTGGGAAAGCACAGCCTTATTAGCACTTACCACGGAAGATTTTATTCCGGCTGGTTGTGATTTTGGAAAAGAAGATATGGATAAACTTATACGTCCTGAATCAACAAATGAAGGTGAAAGTACTAGTTGGTCTGGTGCTACATCTACAGATATGGGAAGTAATGGGATGACTACAGCCATGGAAGCTTTAAGCACTGATCCGCCTCCTATACCTATGGAAGTAGACGAAAAACCAAGTGTTAGTACAGGAAGAATATCTCCAAACTCTCATCGACTTACATATCCTAAGCATTTGCTAGGACTTACATCTAAAATGGGTAGAGCTTTAGCAGAACTCTTTGCTATACTTGTAAAGGTAAGTAAGAGATTATTCAAATTTCAGAATATATTTTCATTTCTAATTTTAATATTAAAATTTATTCAGCTTTGCATGGGCTCCCCAATTAGACAACGCAGAGGACAACAGATGCCTCCAATACCAGCCCTACCTTCACAAGCGTCTAGAAGCGTAGCAACTGCTTTAAATTGTGTATTAATTCGCGGGTTATCATGGGATAAATTACCTCCATCGACAGTACCAAAACTTCAAGTAACCTTTTTGATGTGCACTCTAAGTTTTGTATCTCCTGCACTATTTGATGAAAAGGGATATCCGTTTCATTTGATGCTTCAAAAGTTCGTTAAACTCGGCGGACAAAATGCATTTTTCGCGTAAGTAAATTTAATAATGATATTTAGAAATATAATTTTTTAAATTCTTAATAATTCATATTTTATTTCGAATAATATTTTTAGTGCTTTTCATTGGGTATTATCTGGAGGAGGACAGTTTCCGTTATCTGAAGGATTAGAGCATCCAAATTTACCTGATTGTACTGGAGAATTCTTAGATGGTTGGTTAATGATTTTAGAAAAAATGGTGAATCCTAAAACTCTTCTTGATTCTCCATATGTTGTTTCTTCAAAATGTACTGGAATATACAAAGTATATGAAACATTTGATCCTATAAAATATCTTACGGATATTCATAAGGTTTGTTCAAAATGAAATAAATAAGATTTTTTATGTTATTGATTATATTTACATTTTTTATAAATTATAGGAAGCTTTTGAGGCAGTGATGCTAATGTGGGGAAAGAAACCTTTAAAAAATTATGGAGTTCATATGACAGAACTTATTTTATCCATTTTAAGACATATTTTACGAAGTGAGCAAATCATAAAGGTATATATATTTTATATCTGTATATTTTGTATCTGTAAAATATGTAGAATTAAATATCTTTACGTATAAAAGAAAATTGAAAAAATATCAAATTTTTTTAAAATTAATTGCTTCATAGGAACATGCTGAAAAAGAAGAAAATAATGAAGGAGGTATTAGTGGTAGCACTAGTGGAACTAGTGGAATTGGAAGAGGTGGAACAATATCCGATCGCAGAGAGGAACCAGAAGCAGATGTAAATCCAGAACATTTAAGACAGTTGATGGATATGGGCTTCAGTAGAGCTCATTGCATAGAAGCTTTACTTCATACATTGACAGTTGAACAAGCCACTGATTATTTGTTAACTAATCCTGCTACTTTACGCCGATCAGATGTGCCAGCAGGTGATGTAAGCGGACAAGACTTAATAATGGACTTAGAATTGGTAGACGATGATCAAATAATGCATGCCATAGCGATGTCGCTTGGAGAAACAGCGGAAACGCGAAATGTTTTCAGCACAGAAGAATCCAGTTCACGTGAGGCTACTACCATAACTGAAAGCATAGATAAATTTACGCAAAATGCTTTGAGTCAGTGTTTAAATTTATTGGATCTTATGCCTGACACAGTATACAGAATTTGCGATTTATTAGTTGCTATCGCTAAAAGAAACGGAGATGAATGGCGTGATAATATGTTACGACAACTTATGAAAGAAATTGGTGGTCTAGTAGATTATTTAATCGAAGTTGCTGAAAGTCAAGATCCAAATGCTGGAGTAAAATTAGTAGAATGTAAAGAAGCTAATAAAGTTACTGGACGTATTTATCTATATACAATGTTCTTTGAGGGAACGTTCCAAGAAATGCGAGTACCCTGTGCTCAAATTGTAGAAGAATATGCTATTTTAAATAAACTTGTACGTTTACTAGTCGTAAGTGAGGGTCCGTTAACTGCAAGTAAAAGTAAAATTGTCAAAGAAGGTAATAAGGATACATCATCTACGAAAACTAGGAAATGGCTTGCACCTTTATTATTACTGATAGAACGTTTAGAAAAAGTGGCGGTATTGACAAAGAGAAAGGAATTAATGTATAAAGTAACAACCAGAATGTGGAAATGGTTCGATCTCAGCACAGGAAAATGGAATTTATATTCTCCAGTAAATAATCGAATAATTAATGATGCGTATTGGGCCGGCGAGTCTAGTACTAGAGTAACATGTAATAGGCGACGATATGTAATTAATTTTTCATGCATGACTCAAGTTAACGAAGAAACTGGTAATAGAAGGCCTATCACGATGGGCTTTAAACTGCATACCGGAAACGAAGATGGTGGATCAGGTTCTGATACAAATATGGATACTGACGAAAATCGAATAGAGGATAAACGGAATACAGTTTTGCAAGGGTTAGATCCTAGCATGGCTCCAAGTATTATACGCGCTTGTGTGAGGTTGATGGCTATTCCAGTAGATCGAGATGCTTTACATGCAGCTATGAAAGTTTGTTTGAGACTTACAAGAGATTATGAAAATGCTGAAATATTTGTTCGTGAAGGTGGTGTAAAACTTCTTCTAGAAATGTCTCAAGCAAGTAGTTTCATTGGATGCATAACTTTAAGTACTCTTTTAATAAGACATGCTTTGGAAGAACCATGTACTCTTCGATTAGCCATGGAAAAAGTAATTCGTAGTCGTACTCAAGGCAATATTCCTCCAGCTTGCAAAGAAATCTTGTTTATGACACGTCAGATTAATAGTGCTGTATGTCGTAATCCGGAAGTTTATAGAGAAGTTTGTGAGAACATTTTAAGAGTAGACATTCGTCTATTAGGAAAAGAGGATGATGATAATAGATTAATTGTCAAAGCACTTCCACCAAGTCACTCATCAGTAATGCCAATGGTAGAGAAAGCTTCAATATCTGTTGTAAAAGATCTTCTGAATGCTCTTATAAAGCCTATGCCAGTTGTCTCTGATGAAAAATCTTCTACACCAACAAGGAGTCCAGAAAAGAAGGCATCTTATTCTAATGTTGGAAGTTCATCTTCTCGACGAGATGTTCTTAGAATAATGCAACAACATCAAATGATACTCTTGATGATGAGGATCAAGTCTCTCAAATAATACCAATGAAGATTTATCCGGATAATAGCAACAACAGTAAAGTGGAACCAGAAGAAGCAGAAAAACCTTTGTTAACAAAATCAGCTATTCTAAAGATACTTGCAGAAGCCGTTCGCTCATATAGTGCGGTCGCAAGTTTGATTACAGAGCATGCATATCGAGCCGGACAAAGTGAAATGGTTCCTGAGTACACAACAGCTCTTGCTTTCCTTTTGGATAAGCTTCTACCAATGTCACCAGAAAATTCAAGTGACAAACAATGCAGTAGTATGGCGAGAATGTTGATAGCTGCTATTGCTTCCTGTAATCATTCTCCAGATGTTCAAACGACTTTAGTGACTGAAGTAAAAGCAGCTTTAACAAGAACTCTAGCTCTTCCTGAAAGTTCTGAAAAACATGCACAAATTCAATTATTAGTTGGATTAATCTCTACCATGATTGATAGTTGTCCACCAACTTCTTACAATCAATTGAGAACCTCCTTGAAAATGCATCAGTACAATAATGTTAATTATATTGTAAGAATCATGTTAAGAAAAGGAATAATTACAGATTTAGCAAAAATTCCACATAGTCTGGATCTATCAAGTCCAAACATGGCTGCTACCATCAATGCTGCTTTAAAACCATTGGAAACACTTTCACGAATTATAAATCAACCAATGCCAGGTGCTATTAATAACAAATTTACTAAGCCAAAAAGTAGAACAGTTCAAGAGGAACCTATTGGAGAACAAACAGGAACTACAACATCAGAAGCAACACATGCTGTTGGTGAAGAAACAAACGAAGACGCAGAGAATACAGAACATGATATATCTGTTACTGCAGAAAGTCTTGAACCTACTTCGGAAAGTCAAGTACACGAAGATGAAGCTGCCTTAGAAGACATTATGGATCAATTACTTGAAAGGTAACCATATATGATGTTTTATATTTTCAAAATTTTCTTCTTTGAAATATTAATTGAATTAATAATATAAAAATTTTAATGAATATATGTATATAAATATATATATACATATTTTTAAATTTGTATAAGCTACTGTACTTATAGTCAAGTAGTGTACTATTTTCCAGGGACGGGCCGGGCGTGACGGAAGATCAATCTTCTCGACCACATAGACCAATGGACATTGATGAAGAAAGTCTTGCAATAAGGGATGGAGAAGCTGATTTTGATCCAACTCGAGATGCTACGGTAAGAATATTTTATTTTAATAACACACTGCAATGAAATATTTTTAAATAAAAGAATATTTTATATTAATTATTTTATTTTTTTTATATAAATCAAAATATTTAAAATATAATGATTTTTAATATATTTAATTTTTATATCATGAAATTATATCTTCTAGGAGGATTTAATGAGCTCTGATTCGGATTCTGATAGTAATCCATCTGATGATAATGAAGATGAAGTACAAGATGATGAAGATGAAGAGGAAGAAGAAGAGGATGATGGTAACTTTATTATATTATATATAATAGAAATATTTATTCAATTGAATTGTGTAATATTAAAATTTTATTTATCAGGAGAAGAAAATGAAGAAGAAGAGGAAGAAGAGGAAGAAGGATCCTCAAATTACGAAGAAGATGGAATTGAATTCTATGAAGATGTAGGAGAAAGTGGTGTATTCAGAATGATTCCATCAACAGATCGTGATGGTAGTAGTGTCGTAATGATTCGACATAATATAGATAATCAAGACAATGTGAATTCTTCAACTACAGTTACACCACGATCTAGTCTTCCATGGAGTACAACATTTCCTCTTCCTTTGGGACTATTTGAAAATCCTCCATCGATTTCTGAAAGTAGTGGTGAGCATGAAATTATCATTATAATAATAACAATATCAAAAAATAATAAATAATTATATTATAAAAAATTGATATTTAATTATAATATAAATTGATTTCTTTATTTGCAGGTATTAATTCCCATTCGTTGCTAATACCACAGGGAGGTTTAGATGCTACTAATACAAGAGGTCAGAGAGCTGTACGACCGCGAAGATATCAATATCTTCAATTACCAAATCCACGAAATCCAAATCCACCAGTAATATTGCAAAGGTAAATTAATTCAAACTGAATATGTTAATTACATTTATATAAATTTGAGTTTAAAGATATGTAAATTTTTAATATTAAAAAATATAAATACATAAAAAATAATTAGAAATTTTTTAATTATATAAAATATAATTAAATATTTTAATTTCATATATTAAATTTTTGTAAAATAATATATATATATATATATATTGTATTTGCAATCAATAGACTTTTAGGTCCAGCTGCACAAGCAATTCCATTATCTGCCAGTCAAGTTTTGGCTTCTAGCTTTCGAGATACACGCGTTGTAGTAATGGATAATGGTGTTGGAATATTAACAAATCAAGAAGAAGAACAAATAGACTTTGTGGTTTGTAGATTATGATTTTTATTAATTAATTTATTTTTATATTAATTTATTTTTTTCTTAATTAATAACAATCTTTTTAGGATCAATCTGGCTATCTTTTCGGATCTAGTCTTGCAACCACAGTAAATAATACTCCTACTGCTTTACATTGGTGGATTGAAGAAAGCAAATTATTAGATGGAGATTCCCAAACGGATTGTTGTGTCGGTAAATATCAATATTAAAGATATTATTATTATTAATATTGTTATATTAATAAATATTGTAAAAATTAATATTGTTATATATTAAAAAAAAGAAAGCATTTTGGAAAAATAAAATAATTTTTTTTGTTGAAGGTATTGTACATAAACTAATTCCTGGACTGGAAAAACGTAGAAATGCAGAATTGGGAGAACGACGTGAGAGACGTAAAATGCAATACGCTTCTGAGAAAAAAAGTGAAAAAGACAACAAAGATGGAAAAGATCATCTAAATAATACAGAATGTATATGGATTATAATTAATTATTTCAATTGTATTTTACAAAATAGTTATATATGCTTATTTTTAATTATATTTTTTAGCCGGTTCTTCTACTATAATATCTATGGATGAGCAAATATCAACTGCATCAACATCACAAAGAGAAGAAACGAATAATTTTGTTCCTAGATTTGAAACTTGCGTGGAAACAACTCGATTAGAACGCACGCTTGACGAAGATATAATTGGTATAATTATCAAACATTTATATTAGTCAAAATTTAATTAAACAAAAATTAAATTATTAAATAAAATTAAAATTTTGATCATATCAATATTTAGATGTAACTGGTGAGATGGATGCAACTATTCAAGAAGATGAAGAACGACCACCACCTCCCCCACCAGAAGAACAACCAACAGAACCTAGAGATCCTAGAATGAGCAATCGAAATCCAACTTTGGAACTTGCTGAAAGTATAGTGGATTCTGTACTTGGACCTTGCGCGTCTGAAGCAAGCAGATTAAGTAATTTAATTTTTTTTAATTATTTTTTATTATTATTAATTTCTTTTTCCAACAGTCACCAGAAAGTTTTTGACAATGTGAATTAATTATTATAGGACAATCTGAACGTACTATTGAAGGATCTAATACTAATGAAACATCTAATCGACCCAATACGTCCATAGTTGTTGATTTCAGTCAAGAACCTAATGAAGATCTATTAAGAGAAAGTGATTCATCTGAATGGATAAGAATTCTTACGGATGACAGCCAATCAAATGTTGAGCGAAAGTAATATCTTTATTTTTTATATATATAAAAAAAATTAACTAAATTAACTTATTCAATCAATTAATTAAAAATTAATATGACTAAGTTTATTAATTTAATTTATATATTTTTGATATAGTGCGAATATCCTCAATCAAGTACCTACTACTTCTGCATCAGAAAATATTAATCCAGAAATATCAGAACAACAACAACAACAGCAACCATCTCTACAACAGCAGCAACAACAAGAGCCACAACAGTCACAAGAACAATCTCAGCGACAACAACAAAATCAACAATCTCAAGAACAACAATTACCGGATGGCGTAGATCCTTCTTTCTTAGCTGCATTACCCGAAGATATGCGTGACGAAGTTATTGCTGAACAACTGAGGTATTTGTCGTACTATTATTTATATAATAAAAAAAATTAAGTAGTACAGTAGAAATAAGAATCTATTTCTAATTCATTGATTCTGATTTTTGCAATTTTCATAGACTTCAACGAATTCGACAACGGGCACAAGCAACTGTAGTCGAAGAATTAACAGGGCCAGTTGAAGTTAATCCTGAATTTTTAGCTGCTTTACCTCCAGCAATACAAGAAGAAGTTCTTGCACAACAACGCTTGGAACAACAACGTCACGCAGCCGCAAGTGCCAATCCAGAAGATCCAGTTGACGCAGCTGCATTCTTCCAGAATTTACAACCTTCTCTTCGACAAGCGGTTAGAAATTATAATTTTATTCATATTTTATTCATAGTTTTTTTTATTGAAACATTTCTAATGTTTTGTTTTTCTTTTTATTTTTTTATAAAATATTTAATAATGTATAATTTTCTATTTTTTTTATATATACAGATTTTAACTGATATGGAAGAATCGCAAATATCCGTTCTTCCACCAGATTTAGCTCAAGAAGCTCAAAATCTTCGAAGAGAATGGGAAGCTCGAAATAGACATATAATGCAAGACCGATTTCTTAACCACGTTAGTCAAGGAAATGCCGCCTTATCCAGTATATTGCGAAATTCTGGAAGAGGTAAATGACAAATATCATATATATTTATATTCGAAAAATTTAATTACAAAACTAATTAAACGTAAAATAATAGGCAGAGGTGGCGGTACGCGTTATGCGATTCATACAGTAGCACAAAGAGGATGGCAACCATGGACAAATGGTGATCCTAGTATAACGCATCATGGAGCTGGTCTACGACTCAGAGGCAGACAATTATTGGATCATGAGTCGATGGCTTGCGTATTGGTATTACTGTTTGTTGATGAACCAAAAATTAATACATTAAGGCTTCATAGAGTTATCAGGAATCTTTGCTATCACGGTAGCACAAGGGAATGGGTAGTTAGAGCCTTACTAAGTATCATGGAAAGAAGTAATGATGAAAATAAGATATAGCCATGGACTTTGGTGGAAAAATCAGAAGGAAAAGCTTAGTACCCATGATGCACCATGATTACTGGTAAAATATTTTATTTTTAAGATATTATATTTTATAATTATATTATAATTATATAATACATCAAATTCTTTTAATTTTTTTTTTTTTTTAGTTGCTCCAAAATTTTTGATCAAAGAAGCAATGCACAGTCATGGTTAAACATCAGTATTGATGCTGCACTTGGATGCAGAGCAAATGTTTTCCATATTGTTAGACATGGAGGCAAAAAATCAGAAAGACAAGGCAGTAGTATTGCCATCCATCCTCAAGCAGCTCCTACAGTATGCAGGTAAATTAATTAAATTATTTATATGTATGTCTAAAAAAAATATGAATGTATTTTAAAAATAATCTATATATTTTACAAAGAATTTTTAAATAATTTAATTAATTTATCTGCATTTTTTGTAGGCATACATTAGAGTTATTAATATCACTGGCTAAAGGCTTCCCTGGTTATTTTGTACCAATCAAGTCTAAAGAATCAGATGAAAAAGAAAATAATAAGAAAAAGATTCAAGTAACAAAGAAGAAGCCGGTTCGAAAGGTAAATCCACATCAAAACCAGGAAAAAGTGATCAACCTGATTTTTGGGATATGTTGTTGAAACTTGATTCATGTGCTTCGAAAAAAGGAAAATCAGTTGCCAGATCGCACTCAAATTCAAATTTAGGAAATGATACGGAACATAATACCACAACTTTTGAGTCGTCCGCTTTCGGTCAATTAATTTCAATGCTAAACTGGTCGGTTATTAAACGTAGCAGTCAACTAACGGACAAAGTATTGAAATTGTTGTCTTTAATTTCAATCGGATTAACGGAAGTGAATCCGTATCGTAGACAAGAAGGAAATAAGAATAAAAGAACAGATATGAATAAAGAACAAAGCATTGCTGCACCAGAAGAACATCTTAAATTAGCTGTGCAAGTATTGACAAGTAAAAGTTGCTCTGAAGAAGGACTTGAGGATGCAACAGCTTTGTTGCTTAATTTATCTCATTGTCCTGATCCTACTAGGCAATTGGTAATTGCTCAAATTCTATTTATATACATATTTAAAAAATTTTTTAAATTATTTTATTATTAATTTAATTTTTTTATTATTTAATAAAATAATTTCACAGATATTAAAATTACTCTTAGAAGGTGCCATGGAATTGGCTAATGTTGTTTGTGAACACATTAAAGATTTATTAATGGAGTTGAAAGTTTTGAATCGTGAACTCAGACGAAATTCTATCGAAGAACAACCGTCGACTAGTACTGGCGGTTCTCGTTGGGTTCTTTTAGATAGGTATGCTTTTTGAATTATGTACAAATACTATTTCTTTCAAGGACTTGAGGATGCAACAGCTTTGTTGCTTAATTTATCTCATTGTCCTGATCCTACTAGGCAATTGGTAATTGCTCAAATTCTATTTATATACATATTTAAAAAATTTTTTAAATTATTTTATTATTAATTTAATTTTTTTATTATTTAATAAAATAATTTCACAGATATTAAAATTACTCTTAGAAGGTGCCATGGAATTGGCTAATGTTGTTTGTGAACACATTAAAGATTTATTAATGGAGTTGAAAGTTTTGAATCGTGAACTCAGACGAAATTCTATCGAAGAACAACCGTCGACTAGTACTGGCGGTTCTCGTTGGGTTCTTTTAGATAGGTATGCTTTTTGAATTATGTACAAATACTATTTCTTTCATCTTTTTCTTTTTTTTTTTTTTATTTTATACATCAGTATAATTTATTACAGGTTTACCAACGAGAGTGTAGTTATTACTGCACCGAGTAAAGTCAAAGCCGGCAGTGATCTTCAATTACCATCGATGGCTGCTCTTGTTAGCAAAACTTCTAGTCAGGCATTCTTCTTAAGAATACTTAAAGTGATTGTACAAATAAGGGAAGCTGTACGTTTAGCAAATAATAAGAAAACATGTATGTTCCATATTTCATTACTTTTGTCACTGAAATATTAATATAAAATAAAATAAATTATAATATTTTTTTTCAGCTACTCAAAGTTCCGAAAGTTCTGTAGATACTGAAAATACTAACCAAGCTTCAGAATCAGGTAATTTGAAGTTTTATATTTTTATAAACATAAATTAATTTTTACAGTTATTAAATAATATTTGTATACAATTTACAGGTGAAGACAAGCTTCCATTATTAAGTGAAAGTTTAGTATTAGATCATCTGTGGGAAACACTCAGTGCTTGTTTATTGGAATTAGAATATACTCCAGATCAACATGCAGTTTTAGTATTGCAAGTAAATATTATATGTATATTATATATATTTTATGTTTTCATTTAATTTCTTATTGGCCACTTGTACATGATGAATTATATTTTACAGCCTGCGGTAGAAGCATTTTTCCTAGTACATTCATCATCGAGTACTTCGCGTGATCGTCATCTAAGTACAAGTACGGAAAATCGCGAAGTAGTTCCTGATTTAACACCTGTTTCACCAATTTATTCAGATAATGAAGGAACGTCCCAATCAGAAGCTACTATTAATACTTCTTGGGATATACAACCTACGCCACAGAAGACATTACCACCGGACCAACTCAAGTTCCTTAAATTTGCAGGTACATTATTATATTAAAATATCAAAATATAATATATAATATGTTTTTAACAGAATATTATATAATAAAAATTTATATTTATTACGTTTTACACATTATAGAAACGCATAGAACTGTTTTAAATCAAATTCTTCGTCAAACAACCACACATTTAGCAGATGGACCATTCTCTGTGTTAGTGGATCACACAAGAGTTCTTGATTTTGATGTAAAAAGGCGATATTTCCGAACAGAATTAGAACGAATGGATGAAGGTATTCGAAGAGAAGAATTGGCAGTACATGTTCGTAGGAATAATGTATTTGAAGATTCATTTCGAGAACTTCATAGGCGTAATGCTGATGAATGGAAAAATCGTTTTTACATTGTTTTTGAAGGTACAAAATGTGCAATGATCAAAAAATATATTAAAATATGAAGTCTATTTTGTTTTATTCTATTTTAAAATAATTTTAGGTGAAGAAGGACAAGATGCTGGAGGATTACTTAGAGAGTGGTATGTTATTATTTCCAGAGAAATTTTTAATCCTATGTACGCACTGTTTACTGTAAGTCCTGGCGATCGAGTTACATACATGATAAACTCCTCTTCGCATTGTAATCCTAATCACTTATGTTATTATAAATTTGTCGGTCGAGTTATTGGTAAGTTTTTTACTTTATATTAAATATTTTTTTATATGTAATGATTATAAAAAAACAAAAATAATTAATATTGATAATTGTTATCGCAGCTAAAGCAATTTATGACAACAAATTATTGGAATGTTACTTCACGCGTAGTTTTTATAAACACATTTTGGGAATACTTGTGAAACATACAGACATGGAAAGTGAAGATTATAGTTTTTACAAAGGACTTGTATATCTCACTGAGCATAATATTGCTGACCTTGGATATGAATTAACTTTCTCTACAGAGGTAAATTAATAAATTAATAGAATTTTCATTTATTTATATATTCATTTTTTTTATTATATATTGTGATTTTTTTAATTGATTTTTTAGGTAAACGAATTTGGTGTAAATGATGTGCGTGACTTAATACCAAATGGACGTAATATCATTGTTACTGAGGAAACAAAATTAGAATATATTCGGCTCGTATGTCAAATGAAAATGACTGGAGCAATTCGTAAACAGTAAATAAAATAAAGATTAATTTTAATTTCTTAATTTTCTTATAGATTTATAAAATATAATTATGCTTTTTTATTGTTTACAGATTAAATGCGTTCCTAGAAGGTTTTTATGATATTATTCCCAAACGACTGATCTCTATATTCAATGAACAAGAACTTGAATTGTTAATTAGTGGATTACCCAATGTAGATATTGAGGATCTTAAAGCTAATACTGAATATCACAAATATAATGCAAATTCTTTACAAGTATAGCAAGATATTATTATTTTATCTAATAATATTTTTAAATTTGAATTTCAATTTATTAACAATAAATGTTGTTTATTTTATATTTTTAGATTCAGTGGTTCTGGAGAGCATTACGAGGTTTCGATCAAGCAGATAGGGCTAAATTTTTGCAATTTGTTACTGGAACTTCAAAAGTGCCACTTCAAGGTTTTGCTGCTTTAGAAGGAATGAATGGTATACAAAAGTTCCAAATTCATCGTGAAGATAGATCGACAGATAGACTTCCGTCAGCACATACATGGTAAATATACATTATTTCATTTTAAATTCTTTCGAATTTAAACTTAACTTATAAAATTAAAACTTATAAAATTCGTTTTTAGTTTCAATCAGCTAGATCTACCAGTTTATGAAACGTACGATAAGCTTCGCACGAATTTATTAAAAGCGATCCACGAATGCAGTGAAGGATTCGGTTTCGCCTAAATTTCTGCAAAGTTGAGCAAATTTTGCGTGATTTTGCATGAAAATCGAAGAGCGAAGACAAAAAAAAAGAGGAATAAGATATAAAAAAACAACCAAAAACAACAAAGGGAAAAATGATTAAAATATTGATAAAACAAATGTAAAAGTACCGATTGATCTTCGCTCAAGATTTAGTATATAAACTTTTTACTTCGCTATATATACATATTAAAACTAAAGGCGTATGTATATACGTAAAATTAACGATGTAATTACCGATGTCTCGTCGCTAGAGTTTATTTTGTTGAACGATCTTTAAAAAAAAATGAGGAGATGCAGAGCTTAAAGATAAATAATTCCTGATGGAAGGAAGACTTAAAAAAATCAGACACTTTAGTTAAGGATCTTAACAATTAAGAGATAATAAATAAGAATTCAATGTAATTCATCATTGGAAAAAAAGAAAAATAAGAGAGAATGCAGCGGGCTGAAATAAATGTAATATAATTGCGACTCAAAACCGCTCTACTCTTGAACAGATTCAGATATGGGGTAGGAAAAAAATCGGAAACGAGTTGTTGCCATGTCGAAAAGGCAAATGGAAAAGTTATAGAGAAGTGTGCCTGTATTCCGAGTACATGTTTATTTCCTTATTATGCGTGAAAGAAAGCTGCCAGAAACTTAGAATACATGGATCTGAACGCGAGATCAGAAAAAAAAAGAAAAAGAAACGTGTTGTATGTAAGAGCGTGAATGGGTGTGTATGTAAAATGAACGAATGTGAAACAGAGTAATATTATTCAAGAAACCGATTAGACATGAGCCTAAATATGAGAAAAACATTTCACGATGTTATATCCTTAACGCCCGCAAGAAAAAAGAATAACGTATGGTTGTACACTATTAGTATTAATAATTATATTATTCTTAATCGATAGTAATAATCATTAATTAATATCGTTTTAATATTAATTATTTGAGAAATGTGATGTTAAAAAGGAAGTCATGTAATGTTTTTTTTCCTTTTTCTTTTTTTCCTCTGGATATAGCGCAAAATCACGTCCAATTCGCCAACTCTCCAATCTTTGAATCCTTGAACTTCCTTTATTTCAACCTAAATGCTTCTTCTCTGGAGGAAACGTATAATGAGATTTTCACAATCGAACAGATGTTAATTTTTGTAAACACATCGAATAGGACAATATACGTTGAAAAAAGCATAGATCCACCAAACTCTTTTTCGCGATATTGTTAGGGAGTTATTGCTTAGGAATTCGCAAAATAAACTAAATGTTGTATTTCTTATAAAACGATTGCGTCTCTCTCTCTTCTTTTTTTTTTTTTTAATTACACGAAGACACCTTGATAGCATAGCATTTTAGTAAACGTTAAATCACGTAATTATATATATGTATATATATGTGTATGTGTATATATGTATATATATATACATATCATATATATACATACATATATGAAATATAAAGTTACCGTAAGAGTCACGTTATTTAAAAAAGTTAACTAGAATGAAAAATTTAACATTGAAAAAGATGTTTCCCTCTTTTAAAGTATTTCTTATTTGAACATTTTTTCCTTTGTAAAATAGAAAATTATAAATTTATTTATTAAATTATAAATTTCACACTTTTTGTAATTATTATAAATATCAGCACTTAATTATGATATATTTGAAACTAATAATTTTTATTTTATTCAATTTTTAATTTTTAAATGAATTTTTTTAAATTAATAATAATAATTTAAATAATAAAATTGAATTTATATTTATTTTAGCATTTTATTTAAAAGCACTAAATAAAAAAATAGTTTAATTTTCATGTCAGTTTCAAAATATTGTAAGAATTTTTATCGGAATTATTTTTTTACATTTCTATATACTTGTGAAAAAAGAACAAGACTCTTCTTGCATGTATATACATCTTTGTACAATGAGCTTGTGTGAGAAATAGTCAAATATATATATGATGAAAAATGTAACTACAATTGTATTGTATATCGAAGCTATTTACAATGTATTATAATGAAATAATATTGAAAAACTTGTATAACTAAAAAAAAAAAGATAGGAAAGCTATAATTTATTAATGTAAACAGTATATTCTGTAATTATAAAACCTATTATCTTAAAACACATCACAGAATTCAGAATTCTTAGCCTGATTATATGGTGTTCCTCTAGTCTTACGGTGACGCTTTAGGTTTTAGTTCTTCAAAACATGGTCTAAGAAATATGGAATTTTTTTTAGCTGGATTATAATATTCATGGCCCTGGAATAAAATAATATTTTTATTTTATATATAAAATAACAAGACATTAATCCATTATGTAAGATTTAATTATACAAAAATATTAATAATTACTTTTGACCAATCATATGATACTGCATATGCAAATATTTGCCCATTGTGATTAAAGCAACACCGAGTAATTGGTTGCTCCATAGGTTCTGAAGATTTTAATTTAGTTCTTGCATCTTTGTCCCAAAATCCAAATGTACCATCACCTCCAACAGTTGCAACAGTACCATGAACTGGATGAAATGCAATATCATTTACCTATAAGAATATTTCAAGAAAAAATATTTGATTATTCAAATGAATATTTAAAAAAAAATGTGGAATAACTTGATTAATTTAATATTCACTGCATAAATATCTTGATATCCATTAGGAGTTCCATTTGTTCTGTGACACTTAAAAGTGAAATTTTCTTTTGAACTTAAATTCAGATGATGTATTGCTACACGACCTTCTGTACTGCCAATTGCAAAACCAGTAGGAACTTTTTTTTTATCTTTAAAAATTGCAACACATCGATACTGATATTTTAGACTTAATTCTACTGTCTTATATTCTCGAGGACTACCTTCCAACTGATAAACTATTAATCCACGTCCAGCAGTTCCTACTACTGCCATTGGATAGTCCTATAATAATTTTTAAATGTTACAATCTAAGTAATTGCTATTAAAAATATAATAAAAATTATACTTACAACATCTGCGCAGTAACATCTTTCAATTAAATTTATAGTCATTGCTGGCTTAGGACTTCGTAGATCCCAAAACTAAAATATTTGGTAAATTATAAATTTATTTCATATAAATTATATAAATTATAAATAATATAAATAAAAACTTACTCTTAATGTTTTATCCCAAGAACCTGTCATAAGACACGAATATGTACTTGCTTTAATCCAATGACAAGTTTTAATAGGTGCATCATGTGCTGCAACTTGAATAGCCTGGTTCGAAGCTAAGTCCCAACATTTTGCAGTTTTGTCACAAGATGCCATGAATACTTTTGTTCCATCCTGTTTAATTTAAAATTAATTTAAAATTACTTAATCTAGACAAAATCATTCTAAAAATATTATTTTAAATTTGTTTATCTTACATCACTCCAACAAACATCGAGAACTGGAGCTGCCATAGATTGCATCGATTTAGGAACCGTTTTGCCAGATTGTTCAACTTCCCAGCAACGAACATTGCAATCCCAAGAACCAGCAACAAGAAAATTTTGTGGGATAGAAGCAGGACTAAATGCGAGACTGGAAACAGAATCATCAGGAGGAGAGACAACCTCAAAATCTTGCATTGGATTAGAAGTAGATGATGTGCCAGTTTGTAATCCTCCACTTTGATTGAACATTTTCAATCAATTTTAGCAAAATAACTATTATTTAACACAAAATAGTATTGTTAATCAAAATATAGTTGATATATATAATAATAATAAACATTCGAAAACTTTATATTACGAGAACGTTATATTATTTGTGTATCACCAATATAAAAAAAATAATACTGTGATTTAAAAAAATACATAGAATGCATACTGAATTTAGATTTTAAGATCAAAATATCATATAAATAGGTGGCGAAACTTTGTATTATTAATTTTCTAATATTACAACAAAAATTGTTCCTAGCATATTTTAAATTTAAATTAAAGAAAGAAGAATTATAGTCTATTATGTTTGTACTATTAAAATTATATTATCAAATTATTAAAGTTACTAGTTACGCAGAATAGATAAATATATTTTATACAAAAATTCATAAAATAATAATGTAAAATATGAATAACTAATTTAAGATATACAATTTTTACCAAATATTTTTTTAAAGATTTTACATTTCTTTTTTGTAGAAAAAAAGAAAAGATTTTAAGCTTCGTTCAAATTATCAATATTAATATAATAATCACTTATTATTTTTACTTGAATTTAAGAGATATGACAATTATCATATCTTAAATATTAAAAATATCTTTCTAAATACATTTAAGTAGTTGATTAATTTTTACACTATTTTTTCTAGTATTTGCTTTTCTTATTTATTATATTTACACAATATATATTTATATTTATTTTGCAAAATTTATGCGTTTAAAAAATTATATATCTGATTAACTATATAATATTAATTTGTTTTCTTTATTTAATTTATTAATTAAAAATTTTAATATAATATATTGGATTTAATTTTTAAATCAAAAGTATATATAATATATATAATATATATATAATAAAAGTATATATAAGTATATATAAGTATATCTTCTACTATTATATATATTTTCTATATTTATATAAAAGATTTATAAATACAACTCAATATATATAATTCATGGATATATTTATAAGAAGATGTATTAAAAAAATTATTATTAAAATTTCGATTTTATTAACTTTTATAATTATATATATATAAGTATTTTCGTTCTAAGTCGCAAAAGGATTCCATATCAAGTTCCATTAAATGTTAAATGAGATCTATTCTATATTTTATCTGTGCTAATATTAAGTAATGTAGATATCCTAAAAAATGAAATATTTACTTATTGTTTGAATATTATAAAATAACAAATAAAACACAAAAAAAACTTTTATTTTCTAAGAATATCACATATAAATTATTGCAGATTGCAAATTTAAATTATTATTAATAACTAAAATAACGAATTTCATAAATATTTTTATATAAAATAATGAATCATTAAATAAATTAAAAATAATATATACTAAAGAAAAATGATAAATCTAGAATAAAAATAAAATATAGAGTATTATTAACAAAAAATAATTTTTAAAATTTTAGGCTACTTAAAACAGTTATAAAATTAAGAAAATATAAAATCAAATTTTATACTTAATTTTTACAAAAAATTATTATTTTAGATTAGTTATTGTTATTATTTTAACTTGAATTTATTATGTATTTGAATATTTTTATAACATAAAAATTCATTTTCATCTGACATTTTTTTTAAATATATAAGTGATAAACTTAATGGTAAAATATTTTTATTAATTTATATATGTTTATTGTGGATATAAAATATAGAAATTGAAATTATATTAATATTCAAATATTTTTGTTACTCAATGTATATAAAATGTGTATATATATATATATATATATATAATAAATATAATAAATATCTATTTTTAGTAAAATTAAACTTGTTATTATTAATTATATAC